TCTCTCTCTCTCTCTCTCTCTCTCTCTCTCTCTCTCTCTCTCTCTCCTCTCCCCCCACCCCCAGCTTGGAATGTTGTTCTCTCAGATGTTTCCTTGAATTTTCTTCCACTTTACCTAGGGCACAGAATCCACCTCAGATCATCATATGAGGAAAAGCTATAAAGGATCATTATATTGTGTTTTCCACAGCTGTGTTTGGGGCCACTGAGAGCCAAGGTTGCTAGAGATGAGAGAATGCATGCGTGCGCATGCCCATGCCTGGGGCAGGGGGCAGGTGGAGGACAGCCTTACAATAGCACAGGGAGAGCGTGACCTGGGAGAAGAGTGTCACCAGCTAACCACAGACACTGCAGAAAGTGGCAGGCAGGGGGCAGAAGAGAGAAGAAACAGCCAGCCTAGAGCCTTCCCGCTCTTCCCTTCAGATTTCCTGCAGTACCAAACCTTGGCAGAAGCCAGTGACTAAAATATACAGGTCAGGCTGTCACAGGTCATAAAGCCTAAAGCAAGACAAGGTAGAATCCAGCAGGCAGATGAATGACCAGGGATGAGACTCTACTCACTCGATGGCCATTTGTTGAAAACTATTGTCAGTGATAGATAATCTAAAATGGTGTCTCAACCTTGCTCTTTTCCTTCACTAAACCGCAATGTGGCACTTATCTTTACCTGGCATGATTTTTGATTGGCTGAGATTTTTTATGCTGTTTCCCATATATGTTATAACCTCTTCAATGATTGGGCTTCATCATTTTATTAAGTATTCATACCCTTATAATTTGTAACATCTTCTGCTGTGCAGCAAGAGTTCAATGATTATTGACTAAATGAATCCAATCTTCCCTTTGCTGTCTGAAAATATTCATGTTTGATTAAATCACTATAGACTCTCAATATTTCTAAGTAAATTAGAAATATTTTAGAGTACAGAGTTCGCGCATATGAACTCTGTACTCTAGCCTTTTCTAGGTTCTAAAATATCAATCTGGTCACGTTATTTACTCTATTACTTAAAACAGGTCAGTTTAAACATGCTATAATGAACATATACATATGATTTTTCACATATTTTCTCTCTTTATTAAACTAAAAAAGAACCTAATCTCAAAACTAAAGGAAATAACAATATTTAGTGAGCACAACTCAGTACACTGTGCTCCGTGCATGAGCATTCTTTAAAAAACGAGTTACACAGAAGAAGTGTAACACATTCTACAGACAATGTATTTAAAATACATCTGCTTACTTGTGCTTACACCATGATACTTGATATGTTCAAACATTTTATCAAAGTTAAAAAAAAAGAACATGAAATACTTATGCCATTCAAAGTACAGCAAGAGTTAATTCTTAAAATTTAACAAAGATTTCTCTAGAAAACCTGTTTTCTGTTTGTTTTGTTTTATTTTGCTTTGCTTTAATTTCTTCTCCTAAGAACTTCAGTAACAGGAGGCTAATGAACTCAAGGCCTGGTGGCTTTATGTGGGGTTGGCTCTTCTTTTTTCTTATTCCTAACAAAATACAACTTTAAACTCTTCTTTCTATACCTTCTTGCATACAAAGCAGAGACCCTCAGTTTGTTGCACCAAACTGCAGACACCAGCCTTTGTGTAAATACCCTGACTCTCGTGCCAGATTGTAGCCACTGGGACATGCTCTAGTTGACTCTAAGAGCAGTACCTCACGCTTGGGTGTGGTCAGAGTTGCCTGGTGGTTATCTGTCTCTCCCTCTCTTAGATATCCTGCTTTCACCAACACAATTTTAAGGATCAAATTCAGTTTCTTTTTATTCCCCTTCATCACAAGATATTGCCAATCAGCACTGGTCTGTTTTTATACATGTTGCTCAGTCATGCTTGTCAAAGTGACTGGGAAAGGGCACACAGTGGTTTGACAGGTGCTGACACAGTTACAAAGGGCCAACATGATTTACTGTGCCGAGACAAACTTCAGTTCACAGATGTTAATCATATGTTTACCTGTGTGTGTCTCTCATATGTTCTTTAAATGTATCAAACATTTAGGCAGGAATGACTCTACCATGTCGCTCCACCAGATAACCGTCACTGTGGACTTACCTGCAGCCACTATGATGATATCTGCTAGCTGAGTATGGGCCTTCAGCTGTTCTCTGGGGGTGTATCTGTGCGCTATCGTCACTGTTGCATCACCTGCAATGCAGAAAAGCTTCTATGAGTGGCTGCCGTCCTTTTCAGAATTGTACAAAGTTTTAAACCTCCCATAGGTTGTGTTATAACCTATGAATTTGACATGATTAAATCACGTTTAAAAATTCAAAAGAAAGTCTGGGTGAACCAGAATTTAAGTCTACCTTTTAGCTGGATACATGGAAAATCAAGTAAGTCTAAATGAGGGTAAGGGTTGCCCATCGTCTGGCGATTTTTCTTCTAAATTTTTTATTGACTGTTATTCATTGATTGGTATTAGGGTTGTGCACTGGTGTATTAATGACAGGTAAATAAGTATAGAAAGCAGCAAGATAAACGTTCTTAAAATGGACAATGTATTACAGAATAATAGGTGAGGGATTAATTCTGTCCAGAGAAAATGTCAAGAAAGGGTCCCTAGGGGAGGCAAAGTATCTTTTAATGTTGTCGAGCAGGAATGTAACAATTTGGGGAAAAGAAGAAAGGACATTTCAAGTGAAACCATTTCAAGTGAAACCGGCAGCATAAAGCAGACTAGCTTGAGGCTGTGTTTAGGAAGAGTGAGGAGGGTTAGTGTAAGCAGGAAACGTTAGCGTGAAAACATGAGTGGCTTACAGGTTAACAAAGGAGAGCATCTGTGTCATCCCAAGATGTAACCAGGGGCTGAGAAGAAAAGTGAGGCAGATACAGTGATGTGAAACAGCCCAGGGTGGGACTTCCTGCCAGAGATGCAACTTCTCATCTCCTCCTGGAAGATATCAAATCCTTAGACAGCAGTTTCAACAGATTCTGAAAATGACCATCCATGCACTTCCTAAAGGTGATGGGCTCAGCTCCAAGATGCAGCTTCATCTCTTGTGCTCTAGCCATGAGAATCAGAGGTGGAGGCTGGAGCATGCTGTGGATGACAGTGTGCTTAGTGCACAGGATGACACAGAGGAGTTGTCCCAACAGGAAGCACTGGGAAAACAGTAAGAGGAGTGGAAAGCCAGGCAGTGCCTCCACCCTAACCCCCAGCAGAAGTGTCCTGGTCTACAAAACAGCAGGTCTACAAGAATCCATCCATTTAATGATGAGTAATAAGTAAGAAGGATTTGGTGAAGCATCAGTAAACAGCCCAACAAAGGACAAGTCTGGGGTGAGCTGGGGAGGTGACGAAACTGTTAGGATTCCAGTGGTGATTAGCCTAGTCATGATGACTCTGTGCATTTATCCGAATCAATGGAACTATGCACCAAAAAGCAGTAAACTTTACCTTATGAGAAATTTTAAAGCCAATTAAAGGACATATTTCAAAAGTAGCAGAAATAAAAAAAATAGGCAAAAATGAAAGTGAAATATGTTTTAACTAGTTTACCAATGTTTCAACGAACAACAAAAATTTGTTGTGGAATACTGAACAATTGTACACAAACATTGTAACTTTTTTGTTGTTGTTGTTGTTGTTAGAGCTTAAAGTAATAAAAGCCAAGCAAGCAAGTTGAATCCATCCAAACTGACCTAAAGTGGTCAATTTCCAGAAAGACTTGTGTAAAGAAACGGGAATAAAAACTTTCCAACCAACTAGTCAAATTAAGACTGGGAGTTGCAAACAATTTTGAAAAGTCAAAACTGTGGAGAATATTGTCCATAATGAAAGGAGCTTGCTAACATGTGTGCTTCAAAACCTATTTGAGGAAACACTCAACGGATTGTTGGAGAGATGTGACATATTTTAATACAGAAATAAGACTTTTGAAAGATGTGAGTTGGACTACCATGCCTTGATTACCCTCGTGGGACTAAAAGTGTTTATTTAACCCATGAGAGTCCTCGTGGGACCGGAAGTGTTTATTTAACCCAGAGAGTTCTCGTGGGACCGGAAGTGTTTACTTAACCCGTGAGAGCCCTCGTGATTAATGCTGCCGTGGGAGTGGATTTCTTATGAAAGATGATTTCAGCAGTATCTTGTAATACGCGCACTTCAGAGCTGTAAAGAAATGATCACTGCTCTTAACAGATTAACTGCCTGTGGTATTCTGCTATAGCAGCAGAAAACTTACTCAACCACTGACAAACGTAAATGCCATTTACATTGCTCAGTTACGTAGAAAAAAATGCAATACACAAAGATAGACTGGGAAGGGAAAGTAAAGTCTGCTGATTGTTCATATATGATAATGTGAACCAATGAGTCCTCTTCAAAGCTAATTAGCCAACAACACAGGCATATATTTCAAAATATAAATATTCTGAAAGGTGACTTTTATCGATGAATATCAGGTAAGAAACAAATACTGAAACAGTGGGACTATTTTATCAATTCTTTTATAGCATTCACAGGTACTACACAAAAATAAAGAATTAAATCTATATATTATAATTATTGAGATGATAAGGATCTTAAATATTAAAACATATAGACAGAATATGTTTAAAAAAAACAAAAACGAACAGAATAGGAAGTACATTGTTTATTCTGACCATATGTATTTAGCTAAAAATAAATAAAAAAATTTCAGTAACCTATGAAAGATAATAGAAAGAGAAATTCCATATTAAATAGGACAAAGGTATATGCATTAGAAAGCAAAGGAGCAGGCTAGGTATAGCGGCAGAAGCCTTTAATCTCAATATTTGGGAGGCAGAGGCGGGAGGATCTTTGAGTTCAAGGCCAGCCTCTCACATAGTGAGTTCTAGAACAGCCAGGGTTATATCGAGAGACTCTGTCTCAATAAAGGGAGAGAGGGTAAAGGTAGCTATGATGTTTTATGGCTATAATTCCAGCACTCAGGAAACAGAGGCTGGGCATTTTCAAATTGAGGCCATCCTAGGCTACATAAAGAGTTTGAGGCCATTCTAGGCTACATAACTAGTTTAAGGCTAGCCTGGGATACACATGAAAACCTTCTCCAAAACATTATTTTAAAAGGGAAGAAAAACAGAAGGAAAGAGAAAGGAGTAGAAGAGGACAGAAGAGTTTACTCAGTGAATATAAACATATAAGTTATAAATGAAATTGATATAATGAATTAAATGGATTCTAGTGAACATAAATATATAATTAACAAATAAAGGAGAAATGCAATTCATAAAGCAGAAGTTACAAATGATAGAAATACATTGTAGTTGCTGAATTTAATATACTCCTTTCAGTTGACAACAGATCAAGTATAGAAGATACAATGAACATCATATGATTATAACTTATTAAATTCTGAAAATAAATAATATATTTTATGGACCTATTTTAGTTTGGATTTCCATTGCTGTGAAAGGACACCATGACCAGGGCAACTCTTATGAACATTTACCTGGGGATGGCTTACAGTTTCAGAGGTTGAGTCTATTATCATCATGGTGGGAATCATGCCAGCATCCAGGCAGACATGGTGCTGAGAATGAGCTGAGAGTCCTACATCTTGATACACAGAAGGAGACTCCCTTCTGTATTGGGCAGAGCCTGAGCATAGGAGACCTCAAAGCCCATCCCCACAGTGACACACTTCCTCCAACAAAGCCACACCTCCTACAATAAGGCCATATCTCTTCCAATAATGCCATACCTCCAATAGTGGCACTTCCTGTGGCCCAGGCATTCAAACACATGAGTCTATGGGCACCAAAGCTACTCAAACTATCACAGTACCCAACCAACCTTTTTAAATGGTATTATTTTGGGTAACATATTTTCATTAAATCAAAGCAGATAATTATGTAATTTTAAAATAATTATCCTTGATCACAACTCATTATTATTGACATAAAAGATCCTTCTACTGGAAATTTTTTAAAACTAAAGTCAAAGCGTTAATGGATCGAAAATAAAATACTAAACAGTACTATAGAATTTCTAGAAATCTATATAATAAAGCAGGTCATTTTAAATCCAACAAAATAAATATAACACAATTCTTAAGGGATAATAAATACACCAAAGTTACTGTATCAATAAAACAAAACCCAGAAAACTTAATCAACAATCTATGTAACTTGTTAAAAGTTAAAGAAAAAAGTACAATAATAGAAAATATTTATGAATATAAAGTTTAGATGTATTTAATAAATACAGCAATTATCATATTATTGAAACACTGAGAGGATTCATTGAGTTATTAACAAAAATAAATTTGCAAAAATAAATACATTATATATAACAACATGTTAGAAGAGACATGGAAGAAGATCTCATTGTAATAGCAGATCAAAAGGTACCATGACCAGGAATGCGTAAAATCTACATGATATAAAATTCCCTAGAACAATACCAAAAGACATAAATTATATAGAGGAACTAGACAGACAATCATGTTCCCTGGCTGGAAATCCCACAATAATGACCATTCTTCTATGTCTGCTGAAAAAAAAAAAGAATACAACTTTTTATCAATATTTTCCTTTAGGTGGAAAGCATCTAGTTGATTCTAAAATTATTACAGAAAACATGAGAGAAGTACTGAAAAGAATTCTAAACTTTTGAGCCCAAACATTTCTCTCAAATTTTCCATTACTATAACAAACATTTGAGAGAAAAAAATTTGGGCTCATAAGTTTAGAAGTTTCAGCCCATGAACAAATGGCCTCCTTGTCCTGAGCATGTGGTAGAAGGTACACTCTCACAGGACCATTCATTCACCAGAAGTGGATGAATACAGGGAGCCTAAGGTTCCACAGTTCTCCTTGAGAACATGCAACCAGTGACCTCAAGTCTTCCCAGTAAGTTCTACTTTCAGAGTTCTCTCTACTCTTCACACCTCCTCCAGTATCCCCTGGAAGGGGACTTTACCATATTATCCTTAGAGGACACTATGGGGAAAGCAATGGGAGTAAAGTCAGAAGTAAGGATTCATAAATGGAGTGTGAAGTGTTTTAGGAGCCTGTCAAACTGTCGAGTGGATCCCATAAGTCTAGAGTACAGTCGGTGATTTGAGTCACGGGGACTGCAAAGGATCGCCTAGGATGGGTCTGGATAGAGATCTTCAGTAAGAGTCTCAGTCTGTGCTTTGAGAAGTCACTCTCAAAAC